CGGACAGTCTCATCTGTGCACACCCCACTTGCACGGCAGCTGAGGGTCCCTAGAAAGCAGGCCATCGTGGGCTCCGTGTCCCCAGGTGAGGATGTCCTGACCTACAGGGGACGGGAATGGAGCCCAGGCTCTTCTGGACAGTTCCTCCTGATCCCAGGATGTTGCATTCCCAACACATTTTTTTTCTGAGAATGACATTGAGAAATAGGGAAAGAATGGAGTCACCGAAACTATCCAAGGACTTGTCCTTTCCACTTGCTCGTGTTCCTTTTAAGGTTATCTGTGACTTCTGTTTTGGCTTCTTCTGCCAGATTTTTTTTTTTTATTAGAAAGTCAGAGTTACACAGAGAGAAGAGAGAGAGAGGTCTTCCATCCACTGGTTCACTCCCCAAACGGCCACCACAGCTGGAGCTGCACCAATGCAAAGCCAGGAGCCAGGAGCTTCCTCCAGGTCTTCCCACAGAGGTGCAGGGGACTATTTTCCCAGGCCTCGGCATAGAGCTGGATTGGAAGTGGAACAGTCAGGACACGAACCGGTGTCCATATGGGATGTGGCACTGAAGGCAACAGCTTTACCCACTATGCCACAGCACCGGCCCCTCAACCAGTTTTTGCCTTGGGCATGCTACTAATTCTCCAAGGTGCGTCTAGGTGATCGTTCCTTATCTATCCTGCTTTGGATAAATCTGTAGATTGGTGTTTCTCATCCATATATATATATATATATATATATATATATAAACTCAGCAAATGTATCATCAAATATTGCTTCTACCCTACTATCCACTTGAAACTATGAGATGTATATACTATAGATGCTTTAGCTTTTCCTCTCCAGTCTCCTACCTGCCAACTCCTCTTCTGTGCCTAATTCTGGAAAACTTCTTCTGTCCTAAATGGTAGTCACTCATTCCAAGTCCACCCAACCCTCCGTTAAACCTGTCTTTTGAGATTTATGTTTAATTTTCCCCACATCAGTTTTCTTTGGTTCTTCCAAACCTGGTCAGATTTTTATAGTTTTCTTATAGATATGTTAAAGCAATTTATTTTTAAATACACAAAGATATCTTAGACCACACACAGTGCCTGGCGGGTCTGTCTTCGCTCCCTAGTCACTGCTACCTTTCATTGTGGAATTAGCTCATCTATTGAAACTTGAGGCAACTCCCTTTCCCAGGAGAACTGTGACCCTAGTATCCTCCAAACGTTTGTGTCCATCTGCCAGACATTCACTCTGGAGCCACGCTGTGCTACATTCACAGCCGAAGCTGTCTCAGCACACAGATGACTCGGACTGGGGCAGGCCGACCATTCTGCACAAGGTGGCAGCAGGTTTCCTTCCGGCCCACTCCTACCCCTGGGTGCAGTCCTCGGGGTCCCATCTCACAGGGGCTCCCTGCTTTACCTTCTGCCCACTGAGTCTCAAAGGAGCCTCAAAACTGGAGCTGAAATTCACCCTCAGAGGTTCACTTAGCAATACCAACTCGTAATTATTTAACCTCTTAGGGTATTGCAAGCTCCTAGATGCCTCTCTCAAATTCTAAGTTTCAGTCTCCAACTGGAAACTGCTAAGATTAGTATAGTCTGTCACATTACTGAAAAAATGTGTGAACAAACCATGTATTTTGTAGTCTCTTTTTCTCACTAGTGTTAGACAATTGCCTATTTCATTACAAATTATTTGGAAACCCAAATTTATTTAATTATGCATGTTATCACAACTCATTTCACCTTCCTGAGGTTGGAGGGTTGTTGGCTGTTCTCAAATTATCACTCTCTCAAGTGTCATTTTTAATAACAGGTTCACATGAAAGATTTTTGTCCACATTGCTGAGTATTTTTTCTAGATGACAGAATCTTAGAACAGGTTCCAAAGTAATGATCATTTTAATGTTAACACATGATTTCTAGTTGATTTTCCGTTAGCTATGTAAGATTCTTCTCAACTACCAGCAACGATAAAATGCCAGTTGTAACTGTAACCTGGAATACACTGATTTAAAACAGCCAGGAACTCAGCTTCTGATTGGCAACTTGGACTGGGGTTGGCCGGGCACTTCTGTTGTGGCGGGGCTTACTCCTGTGTCAGCAGGTGGCTCACGGCTGGCTGGTCTCTGGTGGCTTCAGCTGGGTTAGTTCACTCCGCTCCCCAGGATCTGACTCTCTTGTAAACCAGTACAAGCTGGTGGGTAGATGGGCAGGTTCCCAACAGTGTGAGTGTGTTAAGCTCTGAGACCCAAACTCCAAGTTCGCAGAATGTCACTATCGCTGTCTTTTGAGCCAATCAAGTCACAAGGCAAGAGGAGCGCTGCAGAGCTGGAAAACAGATGGGTGACGGAGTTGCTAGTGCGGCACCCTGAGAAGGGGCGGGGCCGGAAGCAGTACAAAACGGTGTATTCTACAGCCCACCACACTGTGTTGTCAGAATTAGTGAAAAGTGAGAGGTCTGTAGCGATCTGCTGAAATTTCAGTTGAATCACAGAATTCTGAACGTGTGAACTGGGTACGTGTTAATACCATTCACCACTGAGAAGGAAGAAAGGGAAGTTTGATTTCAGATACCAGTTGAAAATACCAGTTCAATCTGAATTTCTAACAGATCTGAATTCAGAAATGAGATTTAGGCTGATAGTACAGATTTGGATGTGAAGCTAATATTTTGAAGTAATGGATATGTAATGCAGGAATCCAAAGGATGAAAACTCAGAAAACATTATTGCAAAAACTGGAAAACTTACAGGAGAATTAGGCAATATAAAAAGCAGTAGTGGTTTAAAGGCAGTAGAAACTAATGAATGCTATCAAACCTTGGCAGATAGCATGAGTCTCAGCTTGGCGAACATCCCTGAGTCTGGCAAGTGAATGATTGCCTTGGGAAATGCAGCAGAGGAGGGAAAAGCAGAGAGAGCAGGGTTCACTCGGGGCTGGCAGAAGTGACAGGTCCCAGAAACCAGGGCAGATTGCAATGGAAATGAGAGCAATAGAAGGACGTTAAATTAGGGGAGCCAAGGCTGTGACCAATCCCTGACACTCCCCAGTCCAACAGTTCACAAGCTTCCTCAGCTTAGACCCTCTCAGTGTCAGCATGTTCACAGCACATCAAGGAAAAGGCAACAAAAGCCTGTTTTGCTCCTAAAGCCACGCAAACAGCTTCTAAGGATTTATGCCTTAACAACTAGCACCTGCTGGACACCAGCTTCATTCTCTGCTACGATTTCTGTGTCACTCGCCTCACCACAGCCACCACTGAGGGCCGCTCAGCTTCAGGAAGACAGCATGTGCCTTCAGCTAGCAGCATGTTACCAGTCACCAGGGGAGGCCACTTGCCAGAGCGAGTCTCATCTCGAGTCTTGTGGGTTCTTTTCCCTCAGCTTAGTGTAGAAATAAAAAGCCAGGAAACAATTTACAAAGAGGCAGAAACTTTTATTTGGCAAGTGACAGAGAAAGCGTCGGTCCCAGGGGAGAGCAGGCGGCATGCCCGAGCAGGACACTGGCTTTGAGGAAGTGTCCTGGGTTTTTAAGGCATTACTGTTGTCACTCTGGGGGGTACCCATTGGATGGGGTTTCACATGCTGTATGCTGACGGGCACAGCATACAGCAGGAGTCTCCTGGAGACTGTACCTTCTTAGGGACTCAGCCCCCTCATCTGCTAACTCTGGGTGAGACTGCAACCAACTTGAAGGCGTGGTTTAAAACCGCAAGGTCCCACAAGAGAGACAGGGTCTCCTGAGCCCACCTGACTCTCCCCAGGTGCTCAGCCCCTGAGTGAAGATGCCACCCACCCTGAAGGAGTGATTAAAGCCGCAAGGTCACACATGCAGCACAAGGAGCTGTTAGTGGGGGAGACGCCAGTTGGCCTGGAGACAGGCTTTCCGGCCACAGCAGACAGCTTGCCTGTGAAGGACATTCCACCTCTGTCTGAAGGGGCCACAGACCCCAGGCCCACTGGCCGGCCTCACAACACACATGGCTATGGTTCCTTAAAAAACACAAGCTGCGTTTCGGCACCCCGGCTCTCTGTGGTGCGCAGTGCATCTCGGCCCAATTCGGGAACCACAGCCGCATCCCCTCTCCTGGCTGCTTGTTTCTCTCACCCTACATGTTTCCTCCATTTCATTGCCCTCTTTCAGAGTGCAGGTTGCACGAGGATGGGTGTTTTGCCTTTGATACATACTTTATCCCCAGCACTAGGATTCTGTCTGGCACACTGAGGTTTTGAGTAGGTATCCGTTGAGTGAATGACAAGATGTTGTGGGAGTAAGAAGCAGATCACACGGTAAAGGCAAAGAGAATGACAAAAGCCTGGCATGTTTGAATTCTCCATTTCAGATGCCAAACCCTTCTGTACAGGGTGAAGGTTCAAGTGCAGACATAATACAGGCAGCTCAAAAAGGAAAGTGATTTCACACCCCTATCAAGCTACTGGTAAGTCAACCACATAGATAGTAAGGTCACCACAATGATGGGAAGACCAGAGACAGGGAGGCAGGAGTCAGGGGCCAAAGAACAGAAGGAAAAGGCAAGTGGAGCCCGGATGAAAAACCCAGGAGGGAAAGGGACCTCACACGAATCTGCAAGGGGAAGCAGGCAGCAGCTCTTTGTAAAGAAACCACAACTCCCACTTCCCAGGCTGCAGAAGAGCAGTGTCTTCACAAGCATTAGGTTTTTTTTTTTTTTTTTAATGTTTATTTTATTTGAAAGAGTCACAGAGTGGGAGAGACAGAGATCCAGGAGCTTCATCCGTGTCTTCCACATCGGTACAGGGGCCCTGGGACTTGGACCATCCTCCACTCTTTCCCAGGTATATTAGCAGGGAGCTGGACAGGAAGCAGAGCAGCCAGGACTCGAACCAGCACCTATATGAGATGTCAGCATTGCAGGCGGAGACTTAGCCTGCTGTGCCACAGTGCTGGCCCACGTTAGGTTTCTACTAGGCAAGAAAAACAACACTGTAAGGAGTTTCAGGATATAAAACTTGCAAACATATTATATGAATGAGTTTACCATTTGAGAGTTTTTTTAATTTTAAAGATTTACTTAGTTATTTGAAACGCAGAATTACAGAGACAGAAGGAGTTGGGGGTGGGGGTGGGTGTCTTCCATCCACTGGTTCACTCCCCAAAGGCCTGCAACAGCCAGGTCAGAGCCAGGTGCTGCTTCTGGGTTGCCCACGTGGGTGGCTTCTGCTGCTTTTCACAGGCAATTAGCAGGGAGTTGGATCAGAAGTGCAGCAGCTGGGACTTGAACCAGTGCTCATACTGGATGCCGGCATTGCAGGCGGCAACTCAACCCACTATGCCAGCCCCACCATCTGAGTTTTTAAATCTATAAGTCAAGTATAAGAAAACTTCATGAAAACGTTTTTACTCTATTAGGCAATAAATGAGATTCTCAAGGTAACTGCAAATTATTTAAGGTGTTACTTGTTATAAATAAGCACTATCAAAATATATTTTATATAGTCCATCATACAAATGATAGTGTAATACTGAATCTTAGTGCTTCTCTTTAACCTTTCATTATGAACAAATAACGACTTGAAGGGTAGAATAGTTACCCTGTGTGTATAATTAAAGCAGAAACGAAGAACTTTCAGAATGATGATGCATTTCAATAATACTCTTGTTAGAATTCCACCATCTATCATTATCCTGAAACACCCAACTGATGAAGCCAAAGAAAAGCCACAGACTGAGGCATGAGAAGCATTTATAACAAACTCACATAGAAAAAAATTTCAGTGCAATTCCAGAAGCGTGTCCATTTTAGAGCCGTTCTTTCTTGTTTAGGATGAAAATCAAAAGCTACCTATTATTCCAATAATATCAGTTTTTCAGTTGTTTATTAGGGGTCCTGATCTAAATATTGTATTCAAAACATCAAAAAATAGAAGTGCCAACCACTCTCAAGGCTGAAATAACCAATGTGTAAAACTTCTTACTCTTATTTATTTGAATGGCAGAGAAAACAGAATTTTATGTATTCAGCTTCCTCATCTAGACAACTTTGGCTTTGTAGAGTCAGTAATACTAAACTGCCTGTTGGGTTTCGTGGCTTCTTGCATCAGCTCTTGCAACTGTCCAATCTGCTCGTCACGAAAGTCATTTAGTTTTTCTTCTGGGAGAAAGGTGCCAAAACATGCTTTTTCAGTTGGATTTTGTCTGTTGTTGTTGGCTTGTTGCCATAACACTGTCGCATACACCTAGGAAGAGAAGAACGAACGAGGGTTACAGATGCAGAACTCATATGAGATACCTGCTTGCTCACTCAGTGTCAGAGGACTGAAGAAGCCTAAACCCAAGTCGCCTATTTTTCTCCATCACCAACCCTTCTGCATTTGGTTAGCGGAATATAGAAAGTATAGCTGTGTCTTTACTATTCAGCAGTAATTTGAAATATGTCATTTTCAGGACTCCGGGAAAGTTCTTACCCCGGAAGTCAGTGTGGGGCAGGGCCCTTAGCTGGCCCCCAGAGCACGTACAAGCCACGCAATACCATTTGCAAAGCTGTGCCTTTGGAGCCAGCACTTCTCTCAGATTTCTGAAGGGGAGCCATGGGTCTCGGCGGCTATAAAGGTAGGTCTCAAAATTCATTAAGTTCATTTCTCTCTTGAATTAAATTTTAATTAAAAAGTTTCTCTGCAATATATTTTAAATCTTTAAGCCTTCAGCAGTACCTTTGTCAGGAGAAAACACTACTTTTTGAAAGTAATTTTGCTCTTAATCAGTTGGCATATTCGGCTTAATATTTAACTGTCATTGTCCACACAAGCGCTACTTTATGAAACAGACCAACTCTAGAATTTTTTAAGATTTTGTTTGGGAGGCAGAATTACAGGCAGCGAGAGGGAGAGACAGAGAGAAAGGGCTTCCATGCACTGGGCTCATCCAAAGCCAGGAGCTTGTTCCTGGTCTCCCACATGAGTGCAGGGGCCCAAGCACTTGGGCCATCTTCCACTGCTTTCCCAGGCCATTAGCAGAAAGCAGGACTGGAAGAGGAACAGCCGGGATACAAACTGGCACTCATATGGGATGCTGGTGCCACAGGCAGAAGCTTAGCCCACTACACCACAGCCCCAATCAGACCAGCAGTTCCAATGCATTTCACTTCATGAAGTTAAAGAATACACGCATACTCTGGGTAAGTGAATGATATGGCCAACTCTATAGAACACTGTCACTCAATCTGGTTTGAGATAATGCACTATCCCCAGAGAAGCTTTCATTTTATCCCAAACTTTCCCATGTGGTGGAAGTGTCTTTTTAAGATTTGAGGCAGAGAGAAAGAGAGAGGTCTTCCATTCGCTGGTTTGCTCCCCAGATGGCCGGCCCGAGCTGCACCAATCCAAAGATGGGAGCCAGGAGCTTCTTCTGGGTCTCCCACACAGGTGCAGGGGCTCAGGGATTTGGGGCATCTTCCACTGCTTTCCCAGGTCATAGCAGAAGCTGGATCGGAAGAGGAGCAGCCAGGACTCAAACTGGCAACGGCTTTACCCACTATTCCACAGCACCAGCCCAGAAATGTTTTACAGAAACCCATTTCACATAATACCAAAGCAAAAACTACGGCCAGCGCTCTGGTACAGTGGGTTAAAGCCCCAGCCTGCAGTGCCGGCATCCCATAGGGGCGCCAGTTCAAGTCTAGCTGCTCCACTTCAACTCTCAGCAATAGAAGATGGCCCAAATACTTGAGCCCCTGCACCTGCGAGGGAGACCTGGAAGAGGCTCCCGGCTTCAAATCAGCTCAGCTCTGGCTGTTGCGGTCATTTGGTGAGTGAGCCCTCTCTCTGTGTAACTTTCAAATAAAAATCTTAAACAAAACTGCATACAACATGAGCTTCATCAGACCTGCCTCACAGCACTGTTAGGATTTTACAGTACTTGGGTAATTCTCTTCGGTGGGTGAGAATCTGTTCTTGCATTGTCAGGTGTGGAGCAGCGCCTGTGGCCTTTTAATTACTAGATGCCAGTAGCAACACTACATCACAGAAACTTCAAACATGTGCTAGAATGTTCACTGGGGTACTGTTTGCTAAAACTAAAAATTGGAAATAATCTTAATTGTACGTCAAGCGAAGAAAGGACAAATTCATTTAAGTTACTCAGTGAGTTAGAAGAGCAAATTAGTGAAATGTCTATGTACCAACATGGGTGAATCTTTTAAAAAAATTTGAAAAAGCAGGCTTAAACTTCACTCAATTGAGTCATAAGGTCCCCTGAATAGCCAGACAATGTGAAGAACAAACCTGTAAGACTCGCACTTCCCGACTTCAGAACTTACTAAAGGCGCCAGTCACCACAACACAGCCTGGTGTCATCAGGACAGACGTGTGCGGCCTGCATGGAGCCCAGAAACAAAAAGCAGCGGAGTAGACTGCCCTGAGCAGCTCGGCTACTAGAAGCCCGCCAACACTGCCAGGCACCAAACCACCCTGGGTGCACTGGAGTGACAGTGCCGACATGACCCATAGAATCCACAGAGAGCTACAGCCCAGCTGACCATATAACCCCCAAGTGCCACTGTGATACCTGCACACATCACCAACACTGACCCTTTTCTCTGCCAGGCCGGCACCCTGGGGTTCTAGTCCCGTTCGCCCCTCTTCCAGGCCAGCTCTCTGCTGTGGCCCGGGAGTGCAGCGGAGGATGGCCCAGGTCCTTGGGCCCTGCACCCACATGGGAGACCAGGAGGAAGCACCTGGCTTCAGATCAGCACAGCGCACCAGCTGTAGCGGCCATTTGGGGGTTGAACCAACGGAGGAAGACCTTTCCCCTCTCTCTGTCTAGCTCTGCCTGTCAAAAAGAAAAAAAAAAAACCCAGAATAAAAACCCTATCAATATAGAAAACTACCAAACAACAAAGATGAAAAAAGAAAAAAACATACTCTTGTCATTTTGTTAAATCTCAACAAGAACCCTGAATGTAAATGGATTAAATTCCCCAATCCAAAGATATATAATGGCTGAATTGATAAAAATACTCAATAATGTGATGCCTCAAAAAAAATTTCACCAATAAAAACACATAGACTGAAAGTGAAGGGATTAAAAAAGATATACCACATAAATGGAAACCAAAAGTGAGAAGGAGCAACAATACTTGTATCAGACAAAACAGACTTTAAATCAAAAAAGGTTACTATCCAACAGTCAAGGGACCAAGAAGTACCAATTGCAGATTTGTATGCACTAGTGCTGGAGCACTCGCACACTGTAACATCAAAGGGAGAGATGGACTCTAAAACAGCCAGGTAGGGACTTCACTACCCTGCTTTCATCAATGACCACAGGAAACCAAAAAAGAGATATCAGGATTCATCTATACTACACAGCAAATGGGCATAAAAGACGTTTATAGAACATTTCATTCAATAAAACTTTAGCCCAAACAAGAATTAAAAAGATCCAAGTAACTAAAATCAAGAGATAACAAAGGAGACATTACAACTGATACTACAGAAATATAAAGGATCATTACAGATTATTATGAACAACTATACACCAAAAAATTGGAAATTTGTTGAAAACGGAAACATTTGTGGATGCATGTATCCTAACAAAATGGAACTGAGAGTACCTATAAAATCTGAACAAACAAGTAGCCAGACTGGATGGGTAATAAACAGGCTTCCCATAAAGAAAAGTCCATGGTGTCACTGCTGATTTTTACCAAACCTTTAAAGAAGAAATGCCAATTTTCCTCAAATTATTCCAAACTATTGAATGAGAGGACAATCTTCCAACCTCATTCTATGACACTGCAATTATAACAAACAAAAATAAAACTACAGATCAATATCCCTAATGAACACAGATGCAAAATTTCTTGACAAAATACTAGCAAATCAAATCAATAGCACATCAAAAAGGTTAGACATTATGATGAAGTAGGATTTATCCCATGGATGCAAGGGTAGTCCAACATATGTAAATCAACAAATGTAATACAGCAATAGACTGGAGGACAAACATCCATATTTTATTACTGTGGGTGCATAAAAAACATTCGGTAAAATTTCACATCATGACCCTCAATAAAGAAGGTACATAAAAATACAGCTCAACGTAATAAAGGCCACATGTAAGCCCACAGGCAAAATCGGACTGAGCAGGAAAAGCAGAAATCGTTTCCTGTAAGATAAGTACAAGACAGTAACTTATCTTCCAGTATAGCACTGGAAGTCGCAAGGAAAGAATAAAGGGCATCCAAACAGAAATGGAGGGGGTCAAATAATCTCTATGTGCAGACAACATAATTTCAGATTCAGAAAAACCTAGACACCACCAAAAAAACTGTTAGTACTAACAAATTCAGTAATGTCACTGGATACAAAAGCAACACACACACAAAAGTACTCTTGTACGATAACAAAATTTCTGAGAAAGGAATTAAAGTAATCCCAATCAAAAGAGCTACAAAAATACAGAAAATACAATCTCACATCAATAAGATAGTTGGAAAAGGCAAAAAGTACCAAGTGAACGTGCAAATCCACCCTGAACACACTCCTCCTCTAACTGCAATGGAGAAAGGTGTAACACTGTCAAAGTTCAGCCATGAAATCCCTTATACATCACCCAGTCTATGCGTATCAAATAACTTCTAGACATGCATGTGACTCTTCAAATTGCAAGGATGGTGACTACATTTCTCCTGTTCTCCAAGACCCTTCACCACTTGGTTCCTCAGTCACATAGTTTCCAAACATCCGTGTTCATCCTCGCATCTGCAGGCAACATTCTCTAGTGCAACGTCCTTATTACTGCCTGGCCTACGATGAACTCAGCTCAAATGTCATTTCCTCCATGATGCCTGTATATCCTGGCCCTGCATCCACCTCTGTACTCCCCTCGCACTCTGTACCAAAGCATCTTTATGCATAATTCTCATTCTTTATGTTATATACATCAGACTTTGAAGGCAAAGTTCATGCCTGGACACTAACATGCTTTTAGCATCCGGCAGTACCTGGTGTTAACGTGCACACACCGAAGAGAAGCAGGGAAGGAAAAGGAGAGGAAATTTTTCTACTCACCACCCAACTGCAGCAAAACTTCTGAGGTACTGGGACTTGAGTCTACATCCCTCAACTTGAAACTCTCGGGACTGGCCGGCCACCACTAGATTGCTGGACGTAAAACTTCCCAGGAAGGTTTCCCCACAAAAGCAGACGACCTACTGGATGCAGACTGCTTTCTCCAC